AATGTATTATATTATTTAGATGGTTTCAGCTCATGTAATTATTTATTCTTCATATTTTATCATTTAATAAATTTAGTGGTGTCCCGATACCAGTAAAGTACCCCAATACTCCGAACCAATACTGATGTTGGTATCAATACCCCATTCAATATGTTACAGTTTACATTTTACGTTAAAAGTTTGTCAGTTCCATATTAAGGACATTTTTTAGCTGTTGTAACAATATGTATCATGCTGTATTTTGATTTGATACTGTCAGAGGGCCTATAGGCCTATAAAGCGCCCAGGATGAATCGAACTGCTGAAATCAGCTCGCATTGTCGCAGTTGCATGATGAAAATTGCGTCACTTTGCTCGCAGCTTTGAGTCGTCCACCCGTTCTTGTCACAACCTGCTGTGAGAACTTTTCAGCCCCTCTGCATGAGAACTAAACTGTGTAATCGGTCAGAAATTCGTGGACGTGTTGGTCTGTGCTCAAAGCGCTTGGACGTTGCATTTTGCTTGAACTACTCACTTCCAGAATCCAATGGTTGTTCGCAGAAGAAGACATTTATAAACATGGTCAAGTGCCCGAAACCTCATGAATGGAAAAAAAAGATCATGTGCACGGAGTCTATGCACCAAAAACTGTGAAGCCTTAACAGGAAGAGATTGTATACAAACTAATGGCAAACTAACGGAGTGTAGACTCCAGCAGGAGGAAACCTCGTGTAGAGGCGTATACAGCAGTGGGAGATCGGCGCAGTGTGTCTCAGAGGCTATGAAAGGTGTGTGCGAAAACAAATGTCAAACAACCACGTGACCACACGTCGTGTGGTCGGCTGCTGATTGACTGTACGGGGAGCTTAAGGAAGGAGAGCCTTCTTGTCTTAGATAAAAAATATTGATTTAAAGGGATCCATGATTAGTTGTAACATTAGACTTTATTTAATAAACATATATTTTAACTGTAAAATAAAGACTGTAAAAATACTGTAGGATGCTCAGTTTTTGTCATTTTTTAAACTAAAAGTTTAAGAGTATATTACACGGACAGGACCGTTTTATTTACACGCAATGCATTCTGGGTAAATGATGACATGGATAGGTCATCAGTGCGAGGCTGCTAGCGAGCTACATCCACCCTGAAGGTTAATCTTGGACAATATCTGATGATTGACTCTTTTAAATGAAACCAGAGAGCGTTGACAGAGAGAAGAAGGTAGAAATGACTCAGCCTGTAACTGAAAATATGGATGGAGGACAACAGAGCTGCTTCATGGAAGAAGAACCTCAGCTTAGCCTGTTAGCTTTAGCGTTAGCCCTGATGCTATCACCATGTATATGTATTAGCTCAGTGCTACACATTCTCCTCTTGTCACTGAGGTCCTCCATCCACATGACAGAGAGGGGAACGAAAAAATGACTCAGCTGCAACTGAAAATATGGATGGAGGACCTCAGTTTAGCTTGTTTGTCACGCTAGCACCGAGCTAATACGTATAAGGCAATATAGCGTCGGCACTAGTGCAACGGCTAACAGGCTAARCTGAGGTTCTTCTTCCATGAAGCAGCTCTGTTGTCCTCCATCCATATTTTCAGTTACAGGCTGAGTCATTTCTACCTTCTCCTCTCTGTCAACGCTCTCTGGTTTCATTTAAAAGAGCCAATCGTCAGATATTGTCCAAGATTAACCTTTAGGGTGGATATAGCTCGCTGACACTGAGGACCTATCTATGTCATCATTTACCCAGAATGCTTTGCATGTAAATAAAATGGCTCTGTCTGTGTTAAAATATATATTTTTAAATTTACAAAAATAAACAGCCTACAGTATTTTTACAGTCTTTATTTTACATTTAAAATATATGTTTGTCAAATAAAGTCTAATGTTACAACTAATCAGGGATCCCTTTAAAAGACATTGTCTAATGTTTAAGTTCTAACTCATTAAGTACTCTGTGTCAGTACTTGGTTTTGCTGAGTACCCAATTGGAAACTTATTTTGAGAAAAACTGGCATCGGGACACCCATAATTTAATTAATAATAAGTGTAAAATCCAGTCTCCCGGAAAAAGGACAACTGGTCTAAAACTCACTTTATCACTGAAATATGTTACGTTTCTTCAGTGACAACATCCCTTAAACAGACTTGATACAAAAGGAGGTTTTTATCACCACAGAGAGAAATGAAGTTTGAGTTTCAGCTCAGAAACTAAAGCATCTGAGCTGTAAATCATAAACCCAACAGTCAGGATTCTGGAGGCCCGGTTCACTCAGCTCTGCAGACAGAGAGAGCTTTCTGTAAGCAGCTATAATGAAAGTATTTCTGTCATGTTGACTCAGTTATTTTTAGCAGAAACTTGGAGCACGTCACAATGTTTATGTTTTGACCTGGCAGGGGGGGATTATTTCCATTTCTTTTTGCTGCGATTATAGAAGAAGAAAAAAACAACTAGTTGACAGACGATGACCTGAGTCCACGAAGCTGTTTGCTTTCTGAGTAATTTATTTAAAATTAGCTCCAGCACTTTCTGCTTTGACTTGGATTACTTTCCGTCTTTGCATCGAAGTTTTGAAACAGAGTTTAACTATTTAATGATTTTTTAAATTTAAATAATTTTTGTCCCCTTCTCTCTTTCTGAATTACAGACACCACTTTGACAACAGTTCATCGCAGAATCTGGATTTCACAGCATTGCTACCTGTCTGATAGTTGTGTGTGTGTGTGTGTGCGTGCGCATGTTTTTTGTGTGTTTCTGCTTGATTGCCCATCAGTTAGTGCATTAGTATGCAGGGTGTTTGTGTGTCAGTCTTGTGTGCGTGCATATGTGCGTCTGTGCTCCTCCGCAGTGCGATTTCACAGTCACACAGAGAAACTGACACCTACACGGTAAGAATGGATGAATCTCTATCCCTCTTTCTTTTCTCTCTGTTCTTTTTTATTTGCATCTAACATATTTTCCTTTCATGTTCCAGAAAGTAAAAGTTTAAGACCTTAAGTTTTGATTTAATTGACAACAGAAAGTAACGAAATAATAGCAAAGGGTTTAGTTAAGCATTTGCAGGGTGACTTTAAGAAAACTGGTCCAGTGGATCGATGAATTCATGTTTGTAGAAAAAAAACTGCAAAGTTTAAAAAATGTAATTGTCTTAAATAATAGGGAAGTTGAGCAGAAGTTTGTGGTTTACTTAAGCTTTCATCAACAAGAAAATTAACTTAATTACATACTTAAAGTTTTTTATGAATATACATCATGCTGTCTGCATGTCCTCAGTTAGGAAAAATAGTTTATGATGAGCTAATGGTTAGTCTGAATGTAGCTAACTCTAACATGGATTGCTGCATCTTAAAACTGCTGCAATATCCAAAATTTCATAGACCTTTATTCGATTATCTGTTTTATGTTACACATTTAATTCAGACAGGCTACACCGGAAGTGCTACAGAAAGCTGCTGCTGCTGTTTGCGCTTCGCATTTCACCAAGAGATTCTTGTAAATAATTATATAATGTGATGTAAAAGTTTCTAAAATAATATTTTAACGAGCTGCTATGAAACTTTGTCGATTGGAGCCAAAGCATCAATCCACTTTGGTATGTGCATTCAGACTAGCCGTTAGCTCGTCAGACCAAAACTCTGTTTTTCCAAACTAAAGTCATTCGAAGAGTTATCTACGAGTAAAAATAATTGTTCATTACAATCCGTTACCATAAAGTAGTATACACAAGTGTCATTTAAGTATACAGATTATAAACTAAAAAATACGAGTGTACACTGCAGTTTACTTTTTGTGTATTCCTCAGAGATATACTTAACAATATTCATGCTACCTATAAGTGGCTCATACTAAAAATATACAAAAACTAAACTTGGTAAGTAAAAGTACACACGGGGACTTACTATACTTAAATATACTTTATGACATTTACTTCTTTTTTGGTAAGGGTTTTCATGAAACCACACTTAAAATGTCTTTTAATGGCACCTCAAAACAATCCTTACCAAAAAGAAGTATACCTCAAGTACATATCATTAAGCGTACTTAAGTACAGTAAAGTATCCAAGTGTACTTTTATTTACCCTGTACTCTAATATAAATATCTTTAGACTTTTAGTACATTGTTTAATATAAGCCAAGTATAGTTTACATAAACTAAAAAGTAAATCTCTGATAGATCAATTAAAAGTAAATCTCTATTATTTTGAGTTTCAATTTTGTATACCTCAAGGGTACTATCCTATATTACTTGTTGGTCAGGGAAACAGACTTGCCTCATAATGTCTAATATAATACTTGATGTAAAAGATGTTGAAGGTAGGATGGAGTTGGACCATTAGGAACCCTAAAAATGAACAATAAAATTTTAAAAATCAAATCTGTAACATAATGTATTATTATTAATTATTATCATCATCATCAAGATCTTTGGACTTTAAAAAGTATCCCATGCAGAATGACCTGATACTCTCATAGAACAAAATAAATAAATAAATAAATAAATAAATAAATAAATAAATAAATAAATAAATAAATAAAAACTCCTAAAATTGTTTAAGTTTTCTTTCAACTATTACCAAAATACACCATCTGAAACTTGCTCCGCCTCCTTGAAACCAGGTGATTTTCTTTTTTAGTTCAGCTGCTTGTCAGGACAGAAATGTTGCCCTGAGGTACTTTTGTATTTGCATGCCACTGCAGCACACCTGTCAGGTGATACCGGCGTGTTTTCAGATGGAAATATTAGCCTCAAGTCACCTCTTTCCCTCCTCATATTCAACGTTCCACAGAAATGTTTGTCCTCCGTACTTCTTCCTGCTCTTTGCTGGGGTTAATTTACTTGTTTTTTTACCGGGTTTCGTCACTCCTCAGTTTTTCTTTCCACACGGGTCACAGTGGAATATTTTTTCCCTCCCTTCCTCTGAATGATAATGGCACCTTTTTCCAGCGTCGCCCTGAAATACTTTGATTGTGAAGCGACGTTAGATGTCAAGCCTTTCACAGAAGCATTTTTATTCTGCTCAGCACTCTGACATAAACTCAGAACAAACAAACTTCTCTACACCCTGTTTGCTTGTTTTTATTTTTGTTTTTTCACTACTGGAGATTTATTATGTATGATGAATATATTATGCAACGCCTTGGCTCAGAGTCATCTGTTCACATCTTTATTTTCCCAGCATTTTCTCACACAGTCTTTCTACTGCTTTTTTTTTTTTTTGGTAGGAATGCACAGATGGGTATCACTGGGACCCTCAGACGGAGCACTGCAAAGGTGACTCTCTCTTTTAGTCACAGCTCTTCACCATTTTTTATTTGATTCCTAATAAAATCTCTGTTTCCTGTCAGACATAAACGAATGCGAGACCATCCCGGATGCCTGCAAAGGGGAGATGAAGTGCTTCAACCATTACGGGGGCTACCTGTGCCTTCCCCGCTCCGCATCGGTTATTCCTGCCCCGGAGCCCCCCAACACACCCACCGAGGCCTGCCCCGTGGGCTACGAGCCGCACGGAGACATCTGTGTGGGTGGGTGTCTGTGTTTTGTTTCATCTGGGGAGGGGGGGCCGGAGGTGGACAGGTGGCCACGGGATGAGTGATCATTAAGTTTGTGTGAGTTTATTGTTGGTGGCCACAGATTGTGAGGGACAGGTGGCTGAGCCTGGAGGCAGCATGTTGGTGCAATCCGTGTGGGTGGGAGTGAGTACGAGCCCACAGGAGGCAGGACAGGACAGGATTTCACACCAAGACAGCTGCTGCGTTTTTTTCGGAGCTCGACTTTCAGCGAGAAAAACCTACTCGTGCTGGAGGACTGCGAGGTGTTCATCTGGCTGGCATGAGACAGCAAGCATGACTCAGCACGATATTCTCAGCTGCTGGGTGCAAGTGAGGAGAACGTTGTGGCCGTCGCCTCAAATAGCCGCGCTGTTATCCGTCAGTCAGGCTGAATGATGCCATGTTTGCTCACAGTAACGACATTTCGCATCTTGTCTCCTGCGCGCACAGATGTCGATGAGTGCGAGCGAGAGGAACATGACTGCCAGCCCAGCCAGGAGTGCATCAACACGCTGGGGGCCTTCACCTGCCAGTGTCCCGATGGTTACCGCAAAGTTGGCACCGAGTGTATCGGTGAGAACATCTTTATTTCTTCTGCTCAGAGCGGTTTGTTATATTTTGCTGCAGAACTGAACTAACTTTCTGATTCCGTCTCAGACATCGACGAGTGCAGGTACAGGTACTGCCAGCACCGCTGCGTTAACGTGCCCGGCTCCTTCTCCTGTCAGTGCGAGTCCGGCTTCCAGCTGGCAGGAAACAACCGATCGTGCGTCGGTGAGATCACAGATCATTTACTGCTGAAATACGGTTCTCTGTGTGTGAAAAATAATGACAGGTTCAAATAATTATTCCTCTACTCAGACATTTGTTTTCTTTTGCTTTGCCTGTTTGATTATAACCAATTTAAACTACTTTATTCACCATTTTAAAATCATATCTATGAACAAAAGATAAAACAGTAATCATACCCAAGATGTCTCAGTACTTGGAAGAAAAAGTAGCTTAAATCCTGTAAAGGTACACATCACAAACTATAAAATTAATCAAAGATTATCTTGAACTATGTCAAACAGTGGATTTTAAGAGTTTGAGAAACAATCCTAAAATGCCGATAAACAAAGGATGTCCCCTATTTTCAGCCACTTCAGCTGTTTTCATAGGTAAAAAAAAAATCATTGCACCACCACACTGCACAGCAAAATCTGCTACAAAACAGCAGTTGTTTTTAAATCTGTCATGGTGTGAAAAGTCACCTTGTTTTAGGGTTTTGAAACAGAAGCCACTCTACAGATTTCTGTTTTTCAAGTCCTGTCAGAGTTCAAATTGAGCAAAACTACATGTTGACTTTTCAAACTAAGATTTTTAATCACATTTTTGTCTCGTCCAGCTGAAATGTGAGACGAATCTGCAGTTCGGTTCATTTTGTTGTAAACAAAAATGAATGATTTTGAATGAAGGGAACATGCAGTAAGAATATTTGAAATGTCAGAGGAGTACAATCTACTTTGACTTTTTTCAGATGTGAATGAATGTGAGATGGGAGCCCCCTGCTCTCAGCGATGTTACAACACATACGGAACTTTCCTGTGCCGCTGTGATCAGGGCTACGAGCTCGGGCCTGATGGTTTTACCTGTAACGGTAAGAGGTGCACTCTTCTCTGATAGTGAGTATTGCTCCACGTTCCTGTCTTTTGATTCTAATTGTGAAAAACCTGCCGTTGTCAGACATCGACGAGTGCAGCTACTCCAGCTACCTGTGTCAGTATCAGTGTGTCAACGAGCCCGGGAAGTTCTCCTGTGTGTGTCCAGAGGGATACCAGCTGCTGGGCAGCCGACTGTGTCAGGGTGAGCTTTGTGGATGCTGACACAGCATTCACAATATTAGTTTTACCGGTTTTTATTTTTCTGTAGGTTTTTTATAAATTTAACTAATCTACTTTGTGCTCTTTTTAGCCATTAACATATTCTAACATTCAGCTCATTCATTACATTTATTTACAGATATTTTATCCTTTAAAAAATCATTAAAATCTTTCAAATTTCTTCACAAACATTGTTCTCTAAAATAGCTTGTAGTTGCTATTTTGCTACTTGTAGCTTGTAGCTAACTTTTTGCTATATTTAGCTTGTACTTTGTGCTACTTTGATTAGCATTTTGCTTTTAGGAAGCGTCTTGATACTTTTTGTATTTTTAGTTAGTATTTTGCGTCTTAACTTTTAGGTAGCATTTTGCTACATTAGCTAGATTTTTGTTGCTTTTAACTAAAGTTTTATTACTTGAAGAATTTTGACTTCAAGTAATAAATTCTGTAATACTTCTAGTAATACTTATGTAATAATTCAAAAATAGTAATAATTCTGTTGGCTTCTTTTAGCTAGTAATTACTGATTTGCTACTTTAGCTTTTACCTTTGGCTTTTAAATAACCTCTTACAATATTTAGCTTTTAGCTAGTTATTTGCTATAACAAATAGTGTTTTGCTACTCTTGGCTTTAAGCTGATGTTTTGTTTTTTTGGCGGGGAGGGTTAGGGTTTATTTTTAGCTTTTAGCTACTGTTTTGCAATTCTTAGCTTTTAGTTGTATTTATCTTTTAGCTAGCCTTTAGCTATAGTTAGCTTTAAGCTAGCGTTTTTTATTTTTAAGTCTAGCTATTGTTTTGATACTTTTAGCTTTTACCTTTGGCTTTTAACTAACGTTTTACTATATTTAGCTTTTAGCTAGTTATTTGCTATATTAAAATGTTTTGCTACTGTTGGCTATAAGCAGGTGGTTTTTTTTGGGGGGGGATAGGGTTTATTTTTAGCTATTAGCTACTGTTTTGTTTTTAATTCTTAGCTTTTAGTTGTATTTATCTTTTAGCAAGCCTTTTGCTATAGTTAGCTTTAAGCTAGCTGTTTTTTATTTTTAAGTCTAGCTATTGTTTTGACACTTTTAGCTAACTTTTTGTTATATTTAGCTTTTAACTACCCTCTTGCTACATTTAATTAGCATTTTGCTTCGTTTATCAACTCACTTTCAGCTTCTGTAGCAAAATTTGCCCTCACCGTTCTCCCTGCAGAAAACACTGTTCTTCTGGTCGTTCTCTTGGTGCATATGTTTGCTCTGTGATTCTGTGCTCCGTCCCGTCCGGCGTGGTCCAACATGAGCTGCTTGTCGTCTGCAGATATAAACGAGTGTGAAACTGGTGAACATCAGTGCACCGAGACGCAGACGTGTGTAAACATCCACGGTCAGTACCAGTGTGTGGACAACAACCGCTGCCAAGATCCTTACATCCAAGTGTCTGACAAGTGAGTGATGCCTCATGAAAGAGCGTGTTGTTTATATACACACACACACAGGTTTCCACACACTTTGCTTTAATTACACAAATATGTGCTGGCCATCAGCTCAAAATATAATCAGCCCCCTGTGCTAAGTTTTGGCTCAGACTGCTAAATTACACCAATTACTTTTTCCACATATGAGTCCAAGTTTACAGGCTTTTCTTCTGAACGCGCTCCAGCGCAATAAGAAACGTTTTACAGCTGTGAACAAGCTGGAACAGGTGTAGGTCACTATTAACACAACCCACATGATTTGGAAATATAAAGTGTTTGTTAGAAGCTCATGAAGGAGAAAAGCTTCTGTTCCAGTCAGTTTGTTCAGAATTCAGGAGGTTGTTTTACGCCCTCTGCTGGCGAATACAGGAACTGCTCTGACAAATGTTCTTCCTCCTCCGTTCGGACCCCAGCCGCTGCGTGTGTCCGGTCAGCAAGCCCGCCTGCAGGGATCAGCCGTTCTCCGTGGTCCACCGCTACATGAGCATCACCTCGGAGCGCTCCGTCCCCTCAGACATCTTCCAGATCCAGGCCACCAGCGTGTCGGCGGGGGCGTACAACACCTTCCGCATCCGCTCGGGGGACAACAACGGAGACTTTTACATCAGGGTGAGAGCCGTCAGAGGGCACGGAGGAGGGTGATGTGATGATTCAGCTCAGAGCAGGATGAGTGCGAGCAGCCAGACAGAAATATCTGAGCGAGACTCGGGAGCACAAGTGTTTGTGGGCCAAATTTCTAACGAACCACCAGGAGAACTTTCAGCAACTATTCCAGACATTTACATCTCACGTTTTTGAGTTAACAGGAACATCAATCAACATTTTAAAACACAAAAATGGCTACAGCTCAGTCAGTTTAATAGATGTTGAGTTAACATTAGGTGTGGTAGTAGCTGAGAGTCATGGTGTCCTGATACAGATACCAGTATTTTTACAAGTCCTCATACAAAACGTCCTGATTCACAGAACTGATACCAATACCAGTATCAGCTCTCCATTGATTGTGTTAGTTTGTCACTTTCATCTTTAAGAAAACCTTGTTATTGTTATTTTAAAATGTTTCAATAGTATATAGCCAATATAGGCCAAATGGAATGAGAGACACCTTGTTCTAAATGAAAGAAATGTTTTTAAAACAGTAAGTACTCTATATCAGCAAGTACCCAAACTGAAGTACTCAGAGGAAAAACTGGTATCAGGACATCCCTAACTGAGAGACGTTTTTACTTTTTTTTTTTCACAGCAGTTTGAATGTAAATGTTCATTCCTTTTTATTTGATCGAGGACAGCACCATAAGCAATGTTACATGATAAAAAACAAGCAACCGTTGTTGTGTTTTTTTTTTACAAAGGTTTTCTAGCCATAGGCTAATTTGCAAACCCAGTCCTTGATTAGACTTTTAAAATAAAAAATAGCTAAAATAGAATAAATGTTAAAATATTAAAAGTAATGTTGTAGTTCTGCGCTCAGTAACGTTTGTTTTCATCCTCTTACAGCAAATCAACAACATCAGCGCCATGCTGGTTCTGGCCCGCGCGGTGTCAGGACCCAGAGAGTACACGTTGGACCTGGAGATGGTGTCGGTCAACCCTCTCCTCAGCTACCAGGGAAACCACCAGACCAGCTCTGCTCTCAGACTTTCTATCTATGTCGGGCCGTACGCCTTTTAAAGCAGCTGCAGCAGAGGAGGACGAGGAGTGGACGGGTCCAAACGAGGCTGTAAAACAAGCAGAAGTGGTCGATGCAGTTCAGCCAGTCACTGTGACGATACATCTTTCTCTCTGTACCGTATAAACTCCTCGTAGCAGCCGCGCCCCACAGAATCCTTCAAGTTTTTATCAGTTTAATCCCGTCTTCCATCTTTACTTTCACTCTTTCCATCCACTTGATTGTTTCAGGGCGGAAAACGAATCTGCATGACGAGTTCTCAGGTGGAACAATTCACCAGATTTATCAGCTCATCGTTTGTCACTTTCTCCTTGTTTCCTGTCGATTCAGTAACCACTCACATCAGACCTCAGCGCCCACTCGCCTCCGTCACCCGACACTCCCGTGTTTCTTCTCCGACGTTTCTCGGTTTGTTATTTCGTGTGGTACCTTATACTTTTTTTTATTTTAAAGATCTGAAACCAAATAAAACTGTATAACTTTTGTCAGTGTTTCCCAGTTTATATAGACAGAAGCACCAAATATGTGCAGAGTAAAAACAGAAGTTAATAAAAAGGTTGTACAATTTTATTTACTTTTATTTGCTTGTGCAAGTTCTAAAATTTATCTTCTAAGGAGATAAACAGCTGACATCAAAAATTTCAGTTTTTGTAGCTCGTAGTCTACGCCCACAGTGCCGTTAAGAAAGAAAAAGTTCAAATCATCACCACACTGTGTCGATCTGGAAGAGATCCTCAGAGAAAAAACAAACACAAATTCAGACGTAATATTCCCAACAAAGTTTTAGAATTTAGTGACGCCTGGTTGAGAGTTGATTCAAGATGGCCGCCACAGCCAACTGAAATGTTTATAACTCTGTCGGTTTTACGGATAATGAGCTCAAATTTGCTGAGTGAGATCCTCAACACATACCTCTGAACTCTGTTTGTCTGTTAGCAAAATATCTCATGGACTACTAGACAGATTTGAATGAAACCTTCAGAAAATAATGGCTGGATGTACAAGGAGTCAGGCCAGGTCAAGATGGCCGCTGCATCCAGTTATTAATTTTTACAGATATTGAGCTAAAATTTGGTGTGGTAGTAGCTGAGAGTCATTCACAACTGTGACATCTTGCCATATAGCATGATGCTATTTTCAAGGTTTTACCAAAACTACAATTCTGTCCTATGAAAGGCAGAGAGCGATATGTGCCTTCAAGGCCTCTCATGTTAGATAGGTCATGAATTCTGTTTGCGGAGATGGAAAGAGTCGGCTCAAAACTGAACCAGATCAAACCTTCCAGCCATCTGTTCTATTTTTACTGTCAGTTTTTCACTGATTCTCCTCCTGAGCCACAAAAAAAGGGAAGAGGGGAAAAAAACGACAGAGGGGGAAGCCCTTATTTCACAGTCCACTGCTGTTTTCTCCGCCCAATCCTACACCAAACACCTCCATCTGTCCTCACTGCAGGGAGGGGGGGATGACTCACACACACAGTCCTGTTTTATGTAATCAGGCTTCTTTCAGCCAGCAGGGGGCAGCAGACCCTGCAGAGATCCTCTGCAGCAGGAGGGGGGGAAATGGTCCAGGAATAGCAACAGCCTGAGGTAACAGTGCTGGTTTTATAACCCAACTAATGACAGCCCATATTTTTCTTCCATTTTTCACGAGCTCATACACCTGTAGGAGGAAAGAACTGATGGCAACTTAGTCTGCCCAAAACCACAGCTGCATCTGCACTTTTCACTGCAGACCTTTTCCCCGCAACAACTGGGCATTGTTTGGAGATGGAGAGCAGAGATGACAATGCCTGGTGAGGGTGTTGAAGAGTGCAGTGGGGTAGGAGGTGTGAGAGAGTGGTCCTTTTTTACTTCCTGCTGGGATTCAAAGCTCAGTGACGACATTAAGCTCCACTTTCTAATCAGGACTCAGGTTCAAGAGTTCATAAAATAAAATAACCTTCTGAACAGCTGAAAAATGTCATCGAGTGGGACACAGGAAGTGCTCAGACGAATATAAAAACATGAGAGCACATGGATGAGGACATAGATCCAAAAAATAATGTTAAAGAAAAAAATAACCAGAATAAATAGAAAAGTAGATCTTATAAGCTCACGACTACAAATTAAAACTACTTAGATGAGTTGAAAATGAAACTACAAATTAAAAGTCTTGAAGAAGTTCACATCAGATAAAATCAACCAATGTTGAGAAATTACTGAGTTGCAGCCATTTTTGTGTTTTCTGTGGTGAAAACTTTTTACTCTTAGGCTACAGGTCAACTTATTCTAAGAAAAGCAAAATGCCTACTGCCTATAAGTTTAATTAAAATTGGTCTAGTGGTTTAATGAGATATTTTGCTAACAGACAAACAGCAAAAATATTATTGTCCACCTTCCTTTTTCAGAGCAGGGTAATGGGGGGGGGGGTTAATTTTCAAGAGGCAGTCAAATTAAGCAGTTAAAATGTAGGTTTTACTAGGTGTTTATGTGCACCGTGTGTGTGTGTGTGTGTGTGTGTGTGTGTGTGTGTGTGNGAGACAGATTTTAATTAGACTTTGGTAGATCTGCTTCCTTACATAAAAGTGTGTGTGTGTGTGTGTGTGTGTGTGTGTGAGTGTGTGTGTGTGTGAGTGTGTTAGACTCACAGGTTGTCGTTGATGGATCGTTTAATCGAACTCAGCAGCAGATGATGCAAATTGTTCAAAACCTCCTAAAAACAAATCATAATTAATGCTTCTGTCGATACAAATACACCCAGTTTGCATGCAGGTTTGTGTTATGAGTGTTTCTGATGAGTGATCACGGTTTCTGACGGGAAACTTAAACTAAGAGTTTTAGTTTCTCTGCAGGACCAGGAGGGAGCGTCTCATCCTTCACAGGTGGTTTCAAATCTGAGTTTTTGTTTTATTTACTTTTTTTGTTTTTATGACTCACAAGTTTAAAAACATACAGTAATAAGGAGATAAATGTGAATTACAAAAATATCTTTTTTAAAGAAAACAATAAAAAAGTGTAAAGTATGAGTGTAAAGCTCCAACAAAAGTACGATACTACAATCTGTAAAAGTACATCTATTGTATAAAGTTTCCCTTTTAGTCAATCTTCTGGTGACATATAAAACAAAAAATGCTAACTTTGCAGTCCTGCAGTGAATGAATCACACGCAGCTGCATGTTTCAGGACATTTAAAAATACCAGTCTCTGCATATAATTATTTAGTACTTTAGAGTTTTCACTTGCATCTTAAAACTCTTCTTGATTGGGGAAAAAAAGTCATTTTTAAGAATGACAACACCCCTGTCCACTAAATGCTTTGATAAATATGAAAATTATTTTTTTTTTTCATAATGTGAATAATGCAAAGCATGATTTAATTATCAGATCAGATTATAAGAATTTAAACCAAAGACTGCTCTGTATTACTGTCAAAGCACAATGAAAGACCCATCCTGCACTGTACAAAGGCCTGAAATGGAAATAAATACAAATTTAAAAAATGAATTTGCCGAAAAATGCAGCAAAAGTAATTAAAATAAATCAGACACAATCCAACAATTAACTCAAGCTGTGATTTTTTTTATTTTCTAATTTTATGTCAGAATTCATGAACCTTTGGATTGTTTCCTTTTAATTTTTCATTTGCTTCATTTAATGTGTTTAGTTATTGGTTTTCTACTATATTTATGTATTATTTTAATATTTATAGTTTCCCTGTAGAGTTTTCTAATAATTTTATCTTTATTTTTGTGTTCATGCAATAAAAGTTGTTACAATATTCTTCGCTAACATCAACAAAAAGTTAGTTTTATCCCAGAGAGTTTAACCTCTGTTCAGTCTGCTCATCCTTTTTTGTTTAAATTTGGTACATTCATGCATTATTTTATTATTAAATACGTAGGAACAGGTTTTCTGTTCACATTTAATGCTGCAGGAACTAATTTTCTTGTTTAAAGCTACTTAAAAACAGTTCAAATCTGACAATAAAACCAAGCAGATCAGATAAAACTGCCTGGATCAGGTGGACTCAGATCAGCTCCACTTTTTGGATTTTAGGGGAACAAAGAACAAAAACAAAACGTCCATCAGCTCGTCAGCCACCCAGTGCTGATGGTTTCCACATTTCCCAACTGTTTTCTTTCTCTCCCTCCTCTTTACTCCTCATCCTCGCTGGTTCCTGCTTCGATGCAGGAGTGGGAGGTGTTGCTAGGCGACAGATTAGCTCCTTTCTGACAAGAAGCAAAGTGCAGACCTTGACTTTGGGTGTTAAAAATAAACAGAAAAAAAATTAAAAGATATTCTTAAAGAGAAGAGAATAGCTGCCATTCACCTGCGTTTTACCTTGAACAGATTTTCTGTAAAAACTCTCAAAATTCTCCTCATCTCAAGTTGATCCCAAAATAAAGCAGTTATTTATAGCCACGTGGGACAAACACTTCTCATTATTAGTAAAACGGTTATTATCGGCAGCTAACTTTCACACCAGCGTGTGATGGAGCTGCTGCAGAGGCCGGTCTGTGTTCGCTGCGACGCGATGACTCACGTCGCTCGTCTCTCATCTGCGGTCGCCGTCGACGGCCGAAACTGCGAAAAGTCACACTTTGTTGTCGACCGCTAGCTGAAAGAGCCAGAACACTCTCTGCCCTTTGTGCATCTGCTCAGTGTGTGTGTGTGTGTGTGTGTGTGTGTGCGTGTGGGGGGGGGGGGGGACAGGAGGGACATGAAGCTCACGTCAGGCCAAAAACAACCACACTAAGATGACAAAAACACTTTTCCATGTTTTACAGCCATGAAGCATCTTTTCATCTGCATGTCACTATGATGGAGGAGCAATGTTCTCCTGGTCTTACAAAAGACCCTCCATGCCTCCCCCTCCACCACTCCACCATGCAGGTATTATCTTCATGAAAGGAGGAGTGAGGTGGAGTGCCGCTTCCCTCCTCCCACAGCCCAGGGCGCTGCGGTTGTTTGATGAATGAAAAAGAGCGGTCAATGGAATCTGAGGGACATGAAAACAGGATAAAGAGGACGAGGAGTCAGCAGAGAGAAGAGAGGATGAGAAACAGGAAGTAGATCTCTGCTGTGTGTAGAAAGAGGGAGAGCAGCAGAGGAGGACAAGTCAACAAAATAAAATGTCAAATACTATAAAATAATTGTTACAATGATTTTAAAAAACAAAACAAAGCAGAAAATTAGGCTAAAATCAGAAAATAAACTGTAGCTAAAAGTTCAAATCAACAAAACAGCAGCTGAAACTAAAGTCAGAAAAACTGTAGCTATAAACCACGTGTCAAACTCAAGGCCCGTGGGCCACCCACAGGCCTTGAGTTTGACACGAGGTTTATAGTTGGTGGTGATTTATATCACCTGGTTTATAGTTAGTGACTCCCATGACTTTTTTTAAACTTAACATGCAAATTGTTTCTTATATCAATGGTAAACTTTAAATTTATGATTAAATGCAACAAAATACATTTAAAATATGAAAGATAATAATAATTATA